AAGCTTGCTGAGCATTGCATTCCAATTCAACATATCAACTTGTTTTAGCACGTATATAAATGCAATCGATCTTGGAAGTCACAGTTGTTATGTTTCTAATCAGAATTCGACCGTGTAAAGCCTTTTGTAAGATAAACCTACGTTTGAGCCTAATTGAAATCTGGCCGGCTGAAGCACAACCTTTCCACACATTATTTGTTTTTGTTTTGTGTCCACATTATTTATGTTTACTGTTGTTTATACCAAAATGAACAGCCAATGAGAATCGGACGCGTTGATAAGATTGGGTCTATGATAGCCTTCGGCACCTTGCTTCGGCACCTAGCCTACCGATCCAACGATTAATGCAACCTCCTCTTCTAGGACACGTGGCAGGCTCACAATCGACGTCTACAGTCCCACATCGAAATTCTACACAGCTTGCACATCTCCCAAAGTTTATAAAAGAAGCACAATTCTCCAAAATAGAGGTAATCAGAACTTACGGCATACTGCCTATTGATCTGTTAGTTTAAGCTTACTAAATCCGTACTTACTTAAGCATCGGAGAGCCTTCAGTCGGTACCACACCGGTGCCCTAGGTCTTACCGAGCGTTTTGTTATCTTGCAGATCACGCGCTTTACCGAGGCTCCGAGCATATCAAAGACCCAAACATCACTAAGTTGAGTGGGAAAGTGCCGAGCCATTTTCCTACATCAACAGTTTGGCGCCGTATGTGGGAAAACGATAAAAGTCGACCCATATTTCTCCAGAACACATGGGGACCACTTCAGTACCAACGTTCCTATCGGAAGAAGGATTACCGTTAGGAAGGCAAAGCGGAGCTAGCCCTGCGCTGCCCCCTTGCACTCCTTTCGGTAACGCACCAGTGATTCAAACCACTGTCGAAGCAGAGCTTTTGGCCCAAATCACCTCTCTCTAGAAGGACATGGCAAAACTCCAAGAACATAACAATCTTCTTTCGTCTAAAGTGGACAAAACTCAGCAACTGCTCAATCAGCAGCAAACGCAGAATATCCAAACTATCGAATCTTCCCAGAGTCTGCAGACTCCTAATGGACAGAAGAAGGGTAAGAAGGGGAAAAAGGCAACGCCTGCGCCCTCCAAGCAATTGGTAGTTCCGGCACCTAGGGACCAGCTGCAGGTACCGAAGAAGGTTTACACCGACAGTCGCCATCGGATCAATGATAAGGAAGCCGAAAGGCAGAGGTCTCCAATCAGGATCAATGCTAGGTTGAGAGACTCACGAATGAGGGCTCTGGTAAGCAAGTCGCCCATTCGAAAGGTACGGGGTTTGGAATCGAAAGCAGAATTCGACGAGCATGTCCCTTCCAAAACCACCAAATCAACCTATCGTTCGGCAACTCCCACGCGATTCTCTGGCGCAAGGCCTTCAAGTCCGCGGAGATCTTCCGAAGACTACGGTTCCGAGGTCTCAAGCCGAGACCCTGCTATCTGTCTACATTTCCAAAAGATTCAAAAGATGGAAAACGATAGGACTCGCTTCCAAGAGCCCGACTGGGGCAAGCTTCGGCGGGGACCGTTCACTGAAAGCATAAAGTGCTCACGGCAGGATAAGGATATACAACCACTTCGCATACCATTCTACACCGCTGTCGAAGACCCTTTAACGCATCTATATTCCTTCCAATCAGCAATATGGTGCAAGAGACTCAACAACAAAGGACAATGCTTGCTCTTCCCATCCTCCCTTACAGAAGCTGCATTAAATTGGTTCTACTGTCTGGAGCCGGGAATCGTAGACTCATTCGACGAGTTAAAACAGATTTTTCTCAATCACTTTATGATCCAGACGGACCGTCTGTACTTTGTCGATGATCTGTACACGATTCGGCATAGAGAAGACGAGCGACTACGAGAATATGCCGCGCGTTTTAGTCATGAATACTCGAGGTGCCCAAAAACGGATGACAGGGCAGCTTACGGCGCCTTCAAGAGCAGCCTTTGGTCCTCACACTTCTGGTACCTCGTGCACAGTAGCAATTGGCGCACTTATGACGAGTTGATGAAGCAGGCAACAATCCACGCCAAGGCTGAATATTTCAACTCAAAGTCCGGGCTTTCTGCTCGGCACCAGCATTGAAAAGCTATCCCTGGCAAGGGTCACCGTACACCCCTAGGAGAACTGACGAACCCTTGGCAGAGCACAAACGGAAAGATGACCGTGATAATCAGCATGGAAGCTCAAAGAAATAACGAGGGAAATAGGTTGGAATGACCACCGCGCGCCCCTACCGAATTACGACTGCACTCAGGAAGTCTTTATCCTGCTAAATACCACTTATGAGGCTGTCCTAATGAACGACCACGGGATAATACCCAAGCCAAATCACCGAAAGCCTAATCGACAGGACAATCGGGATACTGGTAAATTCTGCCAATATCACCAGCACAACAGCCACAACACTGAGGAATGCATAAGCGTGAGGAAGATCATTGAACGCTTAATTCGGGAAGGAAAACTGGATCAGTACATTGCCAGACCATCGTCGGCACCTGTCCCGAACGTGAACCGACAAATCAACGTGGTCAACACCATTAGCGGAGGTCCCACTCTGGCGGGATCATCTAATCGGTCGGTGAAACAATACGTGCGTACCGCTCACTACCCTCAAGTCTTCGGCATAGAGGTCAACCGGCACCACAGGGTACGAAAGGTTGGGTGGGAGCCTATCACGTTCTCTGAGAATGAAGAAAAGGGGATAATTTACCCCCACGATGACCCAATGATGATCCGAGCTGAAATCGCCGATTACGATGTAGGGCGGGTGCTGATCGACAATGGAAGCTCGGTAAATGTAATTTTTGCCGATGCTTTCAATGGAATGGGATAGCAAATAGTCAGGTCAATCGGCAGATAACGCCATTGCTAAGCTTCTCTGGGGATCTGGTCTAACCAATCGGCAGTGTCAGTCTACCCATCGCCTTCGGCATAGCCCCTCGAAGAACAATGATATATGATCAGTTCCTCATTGTCGACTGCCCAACGGCATACAACGTCATTGTAGGACGAACGACACTTACCGGAGTCAAAGCACACGTCCCCCCACATGTTGCTGATGAAGTTCCCAACCTACAACGGTATTGGCGCTGTCCGAGGAGACCAGCTCAGTGCACAGACGTGCTATGCGACGGCCCTGAAATCGGTAGCTTGCAAACTTCTAATGGAAGCAATGTATGTGCAAGGGGTACCGAATGGTAGCGGGCCCATAGACGACCCAAGGGATGAAACACCAACGTCACTAGCGCAACCTGTCGAAGAACCGGAAACAGTTGTGTTGAATGAAGAGCATCCCGATCGGTGCGTAAAGATCAGCACCACACTCAACCCCCACCTCCGAATGTAGTTCATTGACTTTTTGCGGCACAATGTCGAGGTCTTCGCCTGGTCTTATGACGACATAACAGGCATATCGCTTGAGGTCATCAGCCACAAGCTCAGCATCTCCCCTGCCTATAAACCCGTCAAACAGAAGCGTCGTTCGTACGATGCCGAACGGTATGAAGCCATGCGTATCGAAGTTGACAAGCTAAATGTCATCGGCTTTATTAGGAAGGCTATGTACCCTGTCTGACTTGCCAACTCCTAATGGTTCGGAAGGCCAAGGACGGATGACGAATGTGTCAGGACTATACGGACCTGAACATAGCATGTCCAAAGGATAGCTTCCCGTTGCCCCGGATCGACCAGCTTGTGGACGCTACTGCCGGTTATGAACTGCTAAGCTTCATGGACGCATATTCAGGTTACAACCAGAAATTCATGCACCCTGCCGACAGCGGGCATACAGCGTTCATTACAGACATGAGGTTGTACTGCCATAATGTCATGTCGTTCGGCCTGAAGAACGCGGAGGCAACATATCGAAGGCTCGTCAACTGAATCTTTGCCAAACATATCGGCAGCATCGTGGAAGTATCTGTCAACGATATGTTGGTAAAAAGCCGGACAACAGAGGAGCACCTACACAATCTGGCTCTCATGCTCGGTATACTAAAAGACTACCAAATGAGACTTAACCCGACGAAATGCGCCTTCGGTGTATCTTCAGGAAAGTTCCTCGAGTTCATGATCATCCAGAGAGGTATCAAAACGAATCCCGAAAAAATCAAGGCCATAATCGATATGGAGAGACCGAAAACGTAGAAGGACATCCAAAGCCTTACCGGACACGTCGCTTGTAACACCCTGACTCTGTTTAATTTCCAATGCAAATGGAAAAACTAAATTAAATGTGAAATTACGAAACTACCCTTGGGGTAGGGCATTTCGGTCATTTTCTTGTCCGGAAGGATTTTGGGACCACAAGTTGTTTGGTTGCGTAGGTGGTTCTGAGATAAATTCGTGGACAGGCGATAGGCTTGAATCGGAGTTATAACGAGGTTTTGGCGATGAAA